GGACAATCTTAGTGGGACGGACCGGAAAGGTAAAACGGACAATCTTAGCGGGACGGAGGTAGTACTAAATTTGGAGTATTAACCCAAAACACCTAAGTCTTTAACCGTTAGGTTGTATATGATCTTACCATCATATGTAATTATGAGATCAAATGAATACATCCTTTGTAATATTGTATGATCTTCAATTACTATATTGGGCGATATACAAGTATTGGGATCATGTAGAATATGAACCATTATCGTATGAGATAATGGTTCAAAAACCATTTTGAACCATTATGTGTATGTATATCTAACATTGGTATTTTCCACCCATTGTTTAGACAAAGTCATTCCGACATCTCATTACATACCGTACTACATATGTACAAGTAGCCTTGATTATACAAAATATATGGGCGTATCCCATATGAAAAAATTGTCATATTCAAACATAAAAGTCAATGTAATAACCCTTACCCAACTGGATGTCAATACCGACTGATATTGCAAATTTTTGTCTAGTTGCTAAAAACAACCAGAGTATTAGGTATTTTTAAATCCTATGGTCTATGGTTAGACTATGTAAATATAGCTTATGGACTTGTAATAACTCGATGAGTTGAACATATGGGTAGTTTCAGTATAATATGTATAATAACCCAATAGTGATTGTACATATTGTGTATGTACACACATACGGATATGTATGTACATACAGGGTATTTTGATCACGGTATGTATTTACACCACTAATTAGGGATATGCCTTGTACTCATTATAATAGATATATTATATGAGATATTTGAGACATTTTCTGAAATCATACAATGATCTCCAATATGTTTTCAGATACCAATCTAACAGAATTTGCATATGGGAATGTTCATTTATTACGGGATGGCATCTCGTTGATATTATTGCCGAATGGAAAGTCACCATTCGAAGTTTGCATATATGTGAGGTGAGTACCAGAGTTCACTGATACATACCCTAACATACCAATGTTGAAAATATTATGTTCCAACGGTGATACATTATCCCATAGATCACGAGACTGTTTTTCAGTCTCATGTATGGACTCGTGTATATTGACTATGGACATCTATACATAAAATACAATTATTTTTAATACCTGATATTGAATTACAGCCTAATTGGATAACCCAAGTCTACAGTCGTGGTATTGGCTCCCACGTGGTTTAAAAAATGGCCGTACGAATATACTTGTTTTCAGTTTTAATTCTATTGTACGATGATATTAATCCCAAGTAAAACGATGGTTCCCTACGAAATAATTATGGAGTCTAGTTAACTAATGAACGAGTATTACAATCTAAGTATGATCTCCTATATGAATTGTGTATTGGCTAAGAAACATAGGAATTGTTTTCAAAGTTACTGTTTTGTATGATCAAGTCCAATCTATTACGTGTGTCGATTACCCAAATCTTGTATTATACATTTATACCCACTCGTTAGTAAGTTATGTATGATACACGTTGAAACTTGAAAGTATTACTCAAGTAATCAATATATTGTCCATATGGTGTCCCAATATATGGCTTCGAACCCATGATTATTTTGAGCAAACTTGTCATATTTATAAATGGGATATGAACTAAACTGATGTTAGTCATATGGATTAAACAATGTCTATGTAACACCCCAAATTTCTCACCCAAAAATACATTTGAATAATGATTTATTCAAAGTAAATAATGATTTATTCGAAAACATCAGTCTTGCAGCGGAAAATTCAAAGGGAAACAGGGGCGTTACCGCCACACTCGGTTCTCACATAACCGAGTGCACAGGCTATCCACCACCAACAAATTAAAAATTTCCATAATTAACTGTTCAACTACAATTCTTTAAAATTAAGACTAAAATAAATTACTCAATCACTTTAGTCTATGTGTTCTAGCGGAAGCTCTCGAAATCAACTTCAATATGATCCTCAATTCTTGCACAAATAAAGTACAGAAAGAAAAACACAAAGAAACAAAAATTAGCTGGAAATGCTAAGTAAGGCCCACCCAACCCTGTAAAATAATCATGTTTGATACATATATATCATTTTGTGAAAACATTTGGGAGGAAACCTTATGAAACACTTTATACAAACTTCTCATCACAAATCACATGTAAAATAATAATATTCCAAATATAGGTACATATATTTAATCAAATCCAAAAGTATTATTTTGGAAATCCATAAATAATTTAATAATCTCAACCACATCAAATCCAATCCAATCCAAACAAATATAACTCACTCAAATAATCCAATATAATGTAATTCAACTAAGTCCAACCAAATAATCCAAATTATCTCAAGTCCAATGAAATTCACCTCAAAGCCTCAAAACCAATTCACCTCAATACCAATGGAATCCAAGTCCAATCAAATCCAAATATAATCCAATCATTCAAACTCAATCAAAGCCAATGGAAGCCGAACTCCTACCTTAAGTGTGCACACCCCCTAAAAGAGATTTCAAGCTCTCCGGGTAGTAAAAGTTCGAGTAGTCGGGATTTTTCTACCGACTACTACAATTAAGCTGGGATGCTCCACTTTTGGGAGATCCCTGGTGGAATTAGACTTATAGTCATTACCACTCACCAAATCCACATTTCTCTGAGTGTTCACAAAATCATAATCCAATCTCAAGTTCAAGTATCATAACCTCAATCAAAATGGATATGAAATCCAAATCCAACCAAATTATTCATAATGAAATTATTAACTCCAACTCATCATACTCAAATATACCATAAATAGTCCAAAATATAGGATACTTCATAAATAGCTCAAATCTCAAATCTCAATCCAATAACAATTCATATGTAAATTCAAATGCTCAAAATATCACCCAATATAAAAATACTCAAATTTCTCGAATATATATAATTCACAATCACAATTGATACGTAAAATCTCATTAACTATCATATACTCAAATGATCTCAAATAACTAGTCACAAATAAATTTATATGGGAAAAGCATGAAACTTGGTTGACATAGTACTTACCTCGAATTGTGATAATTCCTAACCGAAGCTTTAACCTCGATCTTCACCAAAATTCACCTTCTAAGAATATTAAAATTTCTAAAATCAATATCTAATCAACTATAGTTTAATTCTTCAACCCTTTGTAAACTCTCGTTCTTATGACTCTTTTATTTTACCAATATATATAGTAGTCCATAATCTATTTTGTTTATAGTCACCCACTTGTGTTAATATTATTAACAATCGAATAACAGTCCACGATTCTCAGCCAGATCAAATAAATTTTCTCCTTTTCATATCAATCTTGATTTATTTTATTAACAAGTCTTTTTATTATTAATCGGCCCAAGCTACATAATAGAGCAATTAGAATTCCTAGCCAGCCCAAAGTTTTATAAACATTACGCAAGGAAAACAGAGTATACATACTCTGTGATAGAAGATCGTCCTCTTCGAGAAGCAGTCGGAAACAGAGTGGCGGCCTGTAGCCTCTCCTCTTGTCGTCCCTCGCGGTTTAGTTATTCCCGAGACAGGTCACTGTGATTTTGGAGTCGGCAATGGACTGAATTGACGGCGGCTTCTCTCCCAGCGAAGACGGCACTCCGTGTAGTAGTATTCCGGCGTGAAACGTGGCCTAGCAACTAGTCCGGCGATGGTTGTCCGTTCCGGAGACAGATGGAAGAAGCTAGGGTCAGTGAATCACTCCTTCGCATGTGACGATAATGATCAGGCTTCCTCCTCCGGGGCAGCACCACGGCCTCTCTCATCGGCGGTCTGCTACTTCCCTACGGCGAGCCTTGTTTCTCTTACCGGCGGGATCCTATCTCCGGCGTCGTTATAATCTTCTACGGCGACGCAGGTGTCTACAGTTCAGGTGGGGTGTTGGTTTCTTTTTGGACTCGATCGAATGCCCGATACCTCCTCAGCACCGGTGAGTATACCGGCGATGTCTTCTCCTTTTTCTTCTTCACGTGACGTATAGAGCAGCTTGGTTCTCCTTCTATTAATGCGTAAATATATGTGCCTATCTAGCTCGTTTGTTTCTATATACATACACATACGGACAGAGACTTCATATACGGAGTATGAATGTAGTTTTTCATTTGTTATGCTAACAGGGATGAACTATAGGAGAATAAATAGTACTACGCGCAACTCCAGTTGTAGATACAGGTGGTACGTCTCTTCCGTTTCAACCGAACGTTTCTGCTAAGTTAGTTGGGTATTTTTGGCTTCATCTTAGACATACACATGTGTTTCCTCATTGGTGCATTGCATATGGGTGTTGTGAATGTATGTAGTTGCGAGTACATGCATCCATCTATTTGTGGCCTTGTTTTAAGACCAACGCATGTGAGTGGTCAATTTGTTTTGTATTTTGTATACTTTGCACCACATCTTATTGTTATGTACGTAGTATATTATTAGTACCGCAAGCATATTATTGTTATCTATAGTATGCATTATTATTAGACTTCAAAAGTCAACTCTTTCAAAAGTGTTATTTTTGTAGGGTATTTTTGTACACATTTTATCTACTCATCTCTTTAAATTAAAATATTACTTTTATTATTGAAACAATTTTATCTGATTAAAAATGTCATAGATGTTACGATTTTATCTGATTCACTTAATTATTAAAATGCCACTTTCGAAATATTTTATCCGACTAATAAAAATCATTTATTTTATTTAAATTTTTCGGGGTGTCACATTCTACCCTCCTTAAAAGATGCTTCGTCCCCGAAGCATATGTTAAGAAAATATCTGCAATATTAATAGTAGGTATCACATGTTTAGTTAATATTAAATCTTTTTATTTAATTTAAGGAATGTCACATTCTACCCTCCTTAAAAGAGTGCTTCGTCCCCGAAGCACTTAATTTACTTAAGAAAATAGATTATTCATTCAAGATCAGAACGATACATAATCCTTAAACAAAGTTACTAATTTTGAAAATATGAAATTTTATATGATTTCGCCTACTAATTTCAGATTCCTCCATTGCGTTTTGCATGACGATTGGGTCCAAGAGTTGAAGGGATTCCCTTCTTCCTTGAATGACACTCGAACACCCTATGTCCTAGCTTGTCACAATAAAAACATCGTACGAGTGTTCCGTCACAGTATTTCCCAGGGTGATCTTTTATACACTTCGAGCAGTAGAAGTGCATCTCTTCAGTTGAGTTCTTCTTCTTACGCTTCTGGCCTTGGCCTTGGTTGATGATCTTGTTCCCGTTTTGGGTCTCCCCTGCATTACCTAGCTTGTGCCGTTTGCCTCCCTGTCTTGTTTCTTCTTCGATGCCCATCCTTTCTCTCTTGAGTGTTTTCTTCTGGAGTTGTTGCACTCGATAGTGCTTGCTAGCTTTGTTGTAGGCATCGTTCAACGTTTGGCATTCTGAAACGCAAAGAGCTTTTTGTTTCTCGAAGTTCAGACCGCGTATAAACTTATTTGTTTTCTCGATTTCATCGGGAACTAGCGTGGGTGCAAATCGTGCGAGACTCAAGAATTTAGCGTGATACTCTTGGACAGTCATGCCTATTTGCTTCAGGTGTAAAAATTCTTCATACTTCTGAGCTCTCACGTGCTCTGGGTAGAATCTTTTTCGCAGTGCCTCCTTGAACGTCTCCCAAGAAAAGTCGGGTTGTTGACGCAATGTTGGGGCAGTCGTGGCCCACCAATTGTCCGCCTCTTGACGTAGATAGTACGCAGCCGTATTATTTCGTTGATCTGCAGGGCAGTTTATAGCATCGAAGAGTTTGTCGAAAGTGCGAATCCAATCCTCAAGGATGAGAGGATCTTCTTGGCCTAAATAACACGGGGGATTGCGCTTCGCAACAAGTTTTGCTACATCATTGAGGTTTTTGAGACGTTGTTGGTGTTGGTTCTGAATTAGCACACTCCCGATAGTCTGGATGAGTTGAACCATATATGCTCCGCATTCGTCGGTGCGACGACATTGTCTTCTACTTTGTTTCTTGTTGACTTCATTGTCTACTTGAAAGAATAATGTTTAAGACACGAAGTATATAGAATGATATTCACCAATTACACTACCTTACCTAATAACTCACTATTCACATTTGGTAAGTTCCTCTAAAAGTCCAAACTCATTTTCAACTGAGTCAATAATGATATATCTCATATAAGTATAACTCAAACAATTCAAAGATCCACAAACTCCACCAAAATAGAAATTCAAAATCTCACATTCTCACCGCGGTCCTAGAAGTTCTTACTTATTCCCTGGTAAATTAATTTCCTAGTATTTCAGAAAAGCATTTTACCAAAATCCGCTTGGAAAATATTAAGGCTTTGATACACTTAAGGGAGTTTAAGAAAATCTCAGAAATTGTTTAAAAACCCCATTTTAGAAAATCAAAGTCTCTCATACCAACTTGTTGGTATTACTCATTGAAGTTTTAGAAAGTCAAAAAAATGTTCGAAACTATTTTTTTTTTTTTTGAAAACCATAGTCACTTTAGGAAAAACTTTTATTTGAAAACCCTCATTTAAAAAAAATCAAAGGCTCTGATACCAACTTGTAACACCCCAAATTTCTCACCCAAAAATACATTTGAATAATGATTTATTCAAATTAAATAATGATTTATTCGAAAACATCAGAGTCTTGCAGCGGAAAATTCAAAGGGAAACAGGGACGTTACCGCCACACTCGGTTCTCACATAACCGAGTGCACAGGCTATCCACCACCAACAAATTAAAAATTTCCATAATTAACTGTTCAACTACAATTCTTTAAAATTAAGACTAAAATAAATTACTCAATCACTTTAGTCTATGTGTTCTAGCGGAAGCTCTCGAAATCAACTTCAATATGATCCTCAATTCTTGCACAAATAAAGTACAGAAAGAAAAACACAAAGAAACAAAAATTAGCTGGAAATGCTAAGTAAGGCCCACCCAACCCTGTAAAATAATCATGTTTGATACATATATATCATTTTGTGAAAACATTTGGGAGGAAACCTTATGAAACACTTTATACAAACTTCTCATCACAAATCACATGTAAAATAATAATATTCCAAATATAGGTACATATATTTAATCAAATCCAAAAGTATTATTTTGGAAATCCATAAATAATTTAATAATCTCAACCACATCAAATCCAATCCAATCCAAACAAATATAACTCACTCAAATAATCCAATATAATGTAATTCAACTAAGTCCAACCAAATAATCCAAATTATCTCAAGTCCAATGAAATTCACCTCAAAGCCTCAAAACCAATTCACCTCAATACCAATGGAATCCAAGTCCAATCAAATCCAAATATAATCCAATCATTCAAACTCAATCAAAGCCAATGGAAGCCGAACTCCTACCTTAAGTGTGCACACCCCCTAAAAGAGATTTCAAGCTCTCCGGGTAGTAAAAGTCCGAGTAGTCGGGATTTTTCTACCGACTACTACAATTAAGCTGGGATGCTCCACTTTTGGGAGATCCCTGGTGGAATTAGACTTATAGTCATTACCACTCACCAAATCCACATTTCTCTGAGTGTTCACAAAATCATAATCCAATCTCAAGTTCAAGTATCATAACCTCAATCAAAATGGATATGAAATCCAAATCCAACCAAATTATTCATAATGAAATTATTAACTCCAACTCATCATACTCAAATATACCATAAATAGTCCAAAATATAGGATACTTCATAAATAACTCAAATCTCAAATCTCAATCCAATAACAATTCATATGTAAATTCAAATGCTCAAAATATCACCCAATATAAAAATACTCAAATCTCTCGAATATATATAATTCACAATCACAATTGATACGTAAAATCTCATTAACTATCATATACTCAAATGATCTCAAATAACTAGTCACAAATAAATTTATATGGGAAAAGCATGAAACTTGGTTGACATAGTACTTACCTCGAATTGTGATAATTCCTAACCGAAGCTTTAACCTCGATCTTCACCAAAATTCACCTTCTAAGAATATTAAAATTTCTAAAATCAATATCTAATCAACTATAGTTTAATTCTTCAACCCTTTGTAAACTCTCGTTCTTATGACTCTTTTATTTTACCAATATATATAGTAGTCCATAATCTAATTTGTTTATAGTCACCCACTTGTGTTAATATTATTAACAATCGAATAACAGTCCACGATTCTCAGCCAGATCAAATAAATTTTCTCCTTTTCATATCAATCTTGATTTATTTTATTAACAAGTCTTTTTATTATTAATCGGCCCAAGCTACATAATAGAGCAATTAGAATTCCTAGCCAGCCCAAAGTTTTATAAACATTACGCAAGGAAAACAGAGTATACATACTCTGTCATAGAAGATCGTCCTCTTCGAGAAGCAGTCGGAAACAGAGTGGCGGCCTGTAGCCTCTCCTCTTGTCGTCCCTCGCGGTTTAGTTATTCCCGAGACAGGTCACTGTGATTTTGGAGTCGGCAATGGACCGATTGACGGTGGCTTCTCTCCCAGCGAAGACGGCACTCCGTGTAGCAGTATTCCGGCGTGAAACGTGGCCTAGCAACTAGTCCGGCGATGGTTGTCCGTTCCGGAGACAGATGGAAGAAGCTAGGGTCAGTGAATCACTCCTTCGCATGTGACGATAATGATCAGGCTTCCTCCTCCGGGGCAGCACCACGGCCTCTCTCATCGGCGGTCTGCTACTTCCCTACGGCGAGCCTTGTTTCTCCGGCGGGATCCTATCTCCGGCGGGATCCTATCTCCGGCGTCGTTATAATTTTCTACGGCGACGCAGGTGTCTACAGTTCAGGTGGGGTGTTGGTTTCTTTTTGGACTCGCCCGAATGCCCGATACCTCCTCAGCACCGGTGAGTATACCGGCGATGTCTTCTCCTTTTTCTTCTTCACGTGACGTATAGAGCAGCTTGGTTCTCCTTCTATTAATGCGTAAATATATGTGTCTCTCTAGCTCGTTTGTTTCTATATACATACACATACGGACAGAGACTTCATATACGGAGTATGAATGTAGTTTTTCATTTGTTATGCTAACAGGGATGAACTATAGGAGAATAAATAGTACTACGCGCAACTCCAGTTGTAGATACAGGTGGTACGTCTCTTCCGTTTCAACCGAACGTTTCTGCTAAGTGAGTTGGGTATTTTTGGCTTCATCTTAGACATACACATGTGTTTCCTCATTGGTGCATTGCATATGCGTGTTGTGAGTGTATGTAGTTGCGAGTACATGCATCCATCTATCTGTGGCCGTGTTTTAAGACCAACGCATGTGAGTGGTCAATTTGTTTTGTATTTTGTATACTTTGCACCACATCTTATTGTTATGTACGTAGTATATTATTAGTACCGCAAGCATATTATTGTTATCTATAGTATGCATTATTATTAGACTTCAAAAGTCATCTCTTTCAAAAGTGTTATTTTTGTAGGGTATTTTTGTACACATTTTATCTACTCATCTCTTCAAATTAAAATATTACTTTTATTATTGAAACAATTTTATCTCATTAAAAATGTCATAGATGTTACGATTTTATCTGATTCACTTAATTATTAAAATGCCACTTTTGAAATATTTTATCTGACTAATAAAAATCATTTGTTTTATTTAAATTTTTCGGGGTGTCACAGTCTAATACAAATTAAGTCTTATATATCGAGTGGGTAACACCAGTGGTTAGCCTAAAGTGTCATTTAACTAGTAAATACCAAAGGTTACTTACGGTATATTAAAAAAAGGATGACACCCCATCCCTGAGGGCCCCCCAACACCGACCGGACGACACAATGGGAGGATGTAAATTGGACTATAATCACAATCTGACATATAGAGAGTGGGGCTCTGTCCCCGGTACTTGCAGAAGCCCTATGCATTTTTCAGCATAGTAACCCCTCATCGCAGTTGCCGGGATTCGAACCCGAGACCTAACCCTTGTGGCACTCCCTTGCTACCAGTTGAGCTACGCCCACCGGTACTTACGGTATATTAGTTATCATTTGAAATGTATATCATTATTACTAGTGGACCCGGGAATTGAATATTATACCATTGAGAACATACTAATTAAATCATTAATTATATGAACCAAAGTGATCCATAATTTGAGAGTTAACATTCAAATAATAAACATCTAATATCTAAGTTGATGTACTAGTAATTAATGGGTACAATCCATGTAAGTATAGGATGCATTGTATAGGATGCATATGTATACCGTTTGACATATATATGGTTTTACATATATCCGATATAGACCTGTACACAGTGGCGGACCCAGAAAAATTGAGTCACGGGGTCCCTATCATAATATAATTCTAATTAATATACAATTAATAAAAAATAAAGTAAAATATTAAAGAAGCATAATGTTTAATAGTTAAAGTACATCATCAAAACATTAACATAGTACTTCGAATAACGCACAGTTACATATAAAATTCATTTTACAATTACATATAAATTCATTCTACAACTGAAAAAAGTAATAAAAAAAATTAACGGGACTATAAAATTTTAATATCAAAATGTGTATTGTTTTAATAGAAACAAATCCAAGAAAAATATTATTTATAGTTATTTAAGGGAAAAATAATTTAAATAGCCAAAAACTTCTGATCAAAAGGTGAGAGATAAACACCCCAAACATGCATATGTAATAAAAATAACCCAAAGTGTATATAAAATTTATCTTAGCACCATCATAATATTCTTTTTTCTTTCATAAATGTATGCTTATAGTGTTCAAATACTTTGGGCAATTATAAGGATGAAATTATTAATCTAAGCTTTAATATATGAAATACATAACAATAACAAACAAGCTTATAATGTTAATTTCACACTAAAAATGCTTAGAATATTTAAATTATTTACTCAACACTGTAATTTTACATTTGTGAAAGAAAAAAATATGATCTTTATGCTAAAATAATTTTTTTTTAAATTTGGAATATTCATATTAGATATACAAGTTTAGGGTGTTTACCTCACACCCCTCAAAAGTTCATAGTACTTTAATTAGTTTACTGTTTACCCATTATATACTTAATAAAATATTAAGTATATTAAAGTATTAGATATGCGTAGCTTTTTTGAAGGGGAAAAAATGGGATGATTTTAGGGATTTTATTAAAACCAAAGCAACATTTTGGTCTTTTAGAACAATAAGACCAAAAAAATTAAAAAATAAGCATCAGGGGTGTGCCTAAGAGGAATCGAACCCAGCAACCATCAAAGATGGAAAGAGATTAAATCACGCATTACTCCACTCTGCCACTTCCGTCTTTTAGCACCTTGTAGCTTTTGTTGTACATATAATCAGATTGTTTAATTTTATTTAAAATATAGAATATATATAGGTAATATTTTGGAAGTACACGGGGTCCCGGGACCCCGTGGGACCCTTAGTGAGTCCGCCACTGCCTGTACACATTAAAACAATCATAATGTATAAACTAAGAAATACCAAAGTTAGATTGTTAACTTCATATTGTTAACATATGAATGACATATGATAAAATACATATCCCTCTATTAATTGATAATCCGGGTATTATACCCTGACCCTCTGGTTATGGATAATACCTTGGTGTCATATCCTATGTTCAACAACCGAGTAATTAACGGATAAACGATGGTCTCACATGATTAACTTATACCAATGTTAATGATTCAATTGGTACGTGATATCATATGTACGATTATGGATTACACTAAATTGTTACACCATATATGAACGTAATATAATATACTTGTATATGATATCCCATATGATATCACATACCAATTGAATCATTAACATTGGTAAAACAGTGTATGTTTACAATCGGATATTAAATATAATTTCTAAATAGACTCGGTTGATTTAGTAAGCCTGAAAACAGTGAAGACTTGTACTTCGTATGTTTTTTTCTATTCATAATTTGGACTTGAGTCGTGAATGAGAATTGTGGGAATTAATATTGTGTTACCCAAAATTGTGAGGTACCAATATTGGCATCATGAACAATTGTAACATTGTTCTTATACCCTATTCATAAGTCAACTAGAATTGGATACACATATTAATTACTATGATTGAATAATCCTGTTACTACATATATTATTTATCTTGATGGGCATTATAATACTATGAATAAAGTTAATTTTGTCTCAGTATTTCATAAGCATCCGTATTGTTACCATAAATACAATCCGACTTTCAATCATAGTACCATTATAACAAATAGACTTGTGTATAACTATTGTATATAATATTCTTACAATATTATATACAATTCGTATATAATACTATGGATTCAACTCTCAATATTCTTAACCATATGATTTATACATTGTCATGACCAAATTGTTATAACATTATGATACACCTTAGTCACCTAACCAATTTATTTCGTGACCCATATGTATACTATCTTTTTTGTTGGAGGTATTGGTCCTACCAAGGCCTCCCTTCCACTTTATTATTTAGGCTTGCACCCCATGTTTACTCCCACTTTGATTCCCTGAGTTGAAATCACTCATTGGTGTCCTGTTGACTTACCTGGAATCAGCCCCATTGCTTGCTGTCCCCTGCACCCTTTGTTTGTCTTGGCTTACCCGTGAGTGTCCTATACACACCCGTGAGTGTTCTGTTAATTTTTCCCGTGACTTCTCTATAGGCAGGCAGCCTACTATAAAGTCAACACTCCCTTCCCTTTGTGAGATAAGCCTGCGAGAGAACATTTATGCAGTATCTTCCTTCTTCCTTTCCCTTTGTGTGAGAGTTCCTTAGTGGAGTGAAGAAGAGTGAGTAAACATGGGAGATGGAGTGGCCTAGTCCTAGAGTGGTGTGTGTGAGTTTAGTTTAGAAGGTTGGAGACCTGAGCCGGAGACGGAATCCGATCCTTACAGTGGTATCAGAGCTCGGAGCCGCCGTCTGCCGCCGCCGTCCGCCGCCGCCGTCCGCCGCCGACGTCAATTGAAGCTCGCCGGAGGTCGCTGGAGCTGCCTGGTTGTTCGCACGAACTCACTGGCTTTCCACCGTGGCTTCTGCTTGTCGAAATCAGGCTTGTCAGAAGCTCAAGTCGCCGATTGCAGAGGCCCTCGCCGGAAATTGAAGCACCGCCATCGCCCACCTGGTGATTGCAGAGCCGCCGCCGGAGTTTCTAGCTGCCGCCTGAGAATCGCCGACCACAGTCGCTTGCCGCTCGCCTCTTGCCATCGCTCGCTTCCCGCCGTCGCTACCTGCGATACTTGTGGTTCGCAGAAGGCTTGAGTCTTTTTTTTCGTAGAAAGCAGAGGGACGAACTGGTATCGAAGAGCATCGATATGCTCTTTGTTTAGTTTGATGGTTGCTAAAGTGAATTAGGCTTGTGGACTATTGGGCTTCTTTGGGCCTCTGGGCCTGGGCTAGCATTTGTTGCTGTGCTAGAGATGGGCTGAAGCTGCTGGACCTGGACTGGAGCAGTCTGCTGGGCCGCTGGGTTGGTGTTGGACTGCTGGAGCAGGAAGCAGTCAACTGCCGGTCAACCGCCGCCGGTCAACGCCGATCAACGGCAGTCAATCCTCCAGAAAAATCCCAATTTTTTTAAAATTTGGGTAGGTAAGGTCGAAACGCTCTCCTAGGGTTTCGCGAAGGTAAGTTTTCAGTAAATTTCCTATTTTTAGCATTCCGGTTTTAATTTAATTTAATTGATTCCCCCTCCCCGCGGGCCGCCGGTTGATTTAATCCCGGCCGCCAACCCCCCAGGTACGTACTAAACCCTCTCCTTTTGTGGTTGATTGTTTTAGCTAATTAATTAAATTACTAAGTGTTATTTAATTTAATTGTTATGCGTAGGGGGTGGTTTATTGGGTGGTAGGGGTAGAATTAATTAATTTTAATTTTTTCTGCCCGGAATTGTTTAATTGCCAAAATGTCCATTTTTTTGCCATGTGTTGCATGCTGCCCGGGGTTATTAAAGTGAATACTTTATAACCCGGGTTGGATTATTTTTTTTCTGTCATTACTATCTGTTTAGCTTTG